TTAAAAAAAAAAAAAAAGGCTCTAGCTCTATGTCCAATGCGCGGCTTGAACTCAGGACCCTGAGATCAAGAGTCACATGCCCTACTGACTGAGCCAGTCACGTGCCCCCAAAGTATGTGCCGTTCACTCTCCCACATCGGTTCATTTGTCAATACAGTAATGAACATGGAAATGCCTAAGCTGTGGCTGCTGGGGTGACACAGCTCCCACGTGACTGTGGAGAGGGGTGGTGGAAACAAAGTTGAATCTGTGGTGTCCCCCACGAGGTTTCTAGTGTGAAGAAGAAGCTGTTCTCTTGGGGACCCGAGTGGGGAGGGCATCTGTGCATCACTGTGCACATGAGCGCATACTCACACGGGGTTGGCACATGCCACTCACCTGCAGGACCTGTGTGTTGGCCGACTCACAGCCGATCTGCTCTGTCACCTCCACCAGAGCCCCGCCGCTGTCCACAGTGACCAGGCGCACGGGCACACGCCGTGCTTCTCCAGTCAACGGAGCCGTGTTCACCAGCTCCTCGGCCTGGGGGGGTTGTTCAGGAGGGGCTCAGCCCCCAGCTCTTTGCCTCCCTTGGCCCTGGGCCTGGCCGGGCACAGGTGGGGACTCCTTACCTTGGCCAGTGGGACAAGGGCTCTTACGTCCCTCTCCGACACCAGGATCTCCCACACCATTTTGTCCTTCTCTGCTTCGGGGGCCTGGCCTGCGTACTCCAGCTGCCATGTGACAGGGCGAGTGACTGCCACGCCCCCACTTGTGCCATTCTCCACCAAAAAGTCCACCCACAGGAACTCGGATTGTTCGAGGGGGCTGCTGGCCAGAAGAGAGAGAGAGACTGAGTGCTTGCTAGTGGCCAGGCGCTGTTGTCAGCACTTCCTAGATTCGTGAGCTGGGTCCTATGATAACCCTCAATTTGCAGGGGAAAAAACAGAGGGACAGAAGTCATATAACCGGCCCAGGGGCGCCTGGGTGGCTCAGTCATTAAGCGTCTGCCTTCGACTCAGGTCATGATCCCCGGGTCCTGGGATCAAGCCCCACATCGGGCTCCCTGCTCCGCGGGAGGCCTGCTTCTCCCTCTCCCACTCCCACTGCTTGTGTTCCCTCTCTAGCTGTCTCTCTCTCTCTGTCAAAATAAATAAATAAAATCTTCAAAAACAAAACAAAACAAAACAAAAGAAGTCATATAACCGGCCCAAAGTCAGAGTGAAAAGTGGCAGGGCTGGGATTAAACTCAAGCATCCCGGCTCAGAGCCCCAGCTCTTATACGCCCTTGGCCTCTAGAAGATCCATGTAGCCACTTCGCCACCCCCCTGGAAAGCCTGCTTGCCCTCCTGCCTCCCTAGTCCCCCTCCACTTGCCCTCCCACCAGACAGACTTCTGTCTTCCATAGCCATGGGGGGAGGGGAGGGCATAAAGCAGCTGGGGTCAATTTCTCCCTGGGAGGAAGAGTCACTTCAAAGCCCCAGGACTGGCACTTGACCCCCTGAATCATAACTCTCGCGGGTTCCTCTGATCAAGCACTGGCTGGCTGCTTGCTCTACAGTATTTTATTTTCATGGACCCTAAGGGGTGTATTATTATCCCCACTTTACAGGTAAGGAAACTGAGGCTCTGGTCGGGGGCAGGGGGTATCGCGGGAGGTTAACTGGCTTGCCCACGGTTATCCAAAAGTGTCAGAACCAGGATTCAAACTGGAGCTACCACGCTCCTGGCCTTGGCCCAGGTTCAGAGCATGAATGAGAGTTCATAAAGGTTAACCACAGCTGAGCTGTTCCTGAAATATTAACGGTCCAGAAAAAGGGACCCATTTGGTGGTTGAGGGAGGCAGGGTGGTTGCTGTGAGGGCTGTCACTGAGTAGCCAGGATAGGTTGGTATCACCTGGAATGAGATCACAGACACTCACTGTACCTGGGAATGGATAAATAGTAGCTGAATGAATCACTATCTGCTTTGTGCAGCTTCCTTGAAGGAGTGTTCTGTGCCTGCTCACGTGGGAATATGGAAGCAGCCTGGCAGCCCCCTTCCCTCAGGCCCCAGAAATAATCTGCTCACGCCTTCCTCCGCCCCCTGGGGAGGGAGTTGCCCACCTGGAGTCTGGCCCTGAGGGCCCGGCACGGTGACAGGTGATGAGGGTTGTGTGGTGCTTGGAGCCCTTGAAGCGGTCCAGCTTGGCAGTCCAGAGGCTGGGCTGGGCTGGGCGGGCAGCCGTCACGTGCAGCCCCTTCTTCACCTTGATCCTGGGGAGAGGACATAGGCCCAGTGTGTCAAGGTGGGTGCTGAACTAGAATGAGGAGAGACACAAGGGGCGAAAGGCAATCAGCCTCCTGTCTGGCCTCCCCAGCTCTGGTCTGAATCTTCTGCTCACCATCCTCTGGTCCAGAAGGACCCCATCTCAGCGCAGGTCAGGTCACACAGCTCTCCCCGACTCAAAGACCCACTGCCCACAGGGTCAAGTCTAATACCGGCATCAAAGCCCTCCAGGATCTGGTCTAGTTTCATCTTTGGCTGTGACATCCCTCTGTCATTCTGCTTCAGTTACACCGAAAGTTCCTCCCCTCCCAACCCCAGCTCATTTTTATGCCTCTGAGTCTGCTCAGGCTGTGCCTTCAGCCCGGCCTGCCCCTCTTTTTTTCGTCTGCTCGTTCTTCAAGCTTCCAGCAACTCAAATTACTGTTTCCTTTAGAAAGCTTTTCCTGTGGCAGGATGAATTTTCTCCTTCCTCCAGCCCTCACCCAGGCCCCCATCACACCTCATACCTCCCAGAGCACATAATCCAGTGCAGGCCACACAGCTCCTTTCCCTACCGCCGGGGCCCCTTAACACCAGGTGGGGACCTGGCCTTGCTCCTCTGTAGCTCCAGAGTGGAGACACAGGCCTGGACATGTTTTAAGTGTCTGCGAAAGATCTAATGAGTGTGCGAGTGGGCATAGGAGGGTGTGAGAGACAGGGGGACGCGACAGGCACCTGAGAAACACATAGGGACAGGACACACACAAACCCAAACATGGGAGAGGGGAGTCATACTCCGCAAATCCTTGTCAGTGGAATTGGGATGGGAGGCTACTTTGGGAGAACTTCCTGCAGAGAGGGACACAAAAGGAGGGCCTTCCTGTCCAAAGGTGAGGGACATGCAGCAAGGAGGCAAGCGGGAGAACATGCAGATAACACGACTGGAGCGAACACCTGTCCTGGGGTATTAGAGCATTAACCATCCCCCAGGCACTGCAATCTCCAGTTTCCAAGTTCTCTCCTATTTTCCCTCCCTGGAGCCTCACAGCTGCCCTGAGAAGCAGGCAATGTTAGTCCCACTGGACAAGGAGTCTCAGGGAGGTGCCAGGGGAAGGGGAGCTTCCTGCTTCTGACTCCAAGTTCAGGACTGTGCCCATGGCCGGGTCTTGCCTGGCCTGGAGGGAGTGTGGTGGGCCCGTGTTTGCAGCGATCAAGGATGCCAGTAAGGACCCCAAAAGGAGAAGGCACCTGCCCAGTCTTCCTGCAGAGGTTCCTGCCTCCAACCCGTCCCTTCCACCTCCCCAGGAGCCCAGCACTCACCGCAGGGTCAGGACACTGGCTGTGAAGTTGTGCCGAAGCAGGAGGGTGGCACTGAAGAGCTGGCCGGGCCTCACGGGCACATCAGGCACCCGCAGGGTCACAGCCTCATCCAGGGGCACCTCCTGGTACTGTGGGGGGTCCGCTGGGCGCAGCTCCACACCACCCACCGGAAGGGCCTGTTCCCTGGGGTCCTCCTCCCTGCCAGGGCCGCAGCCCCCAGGGCCCTCAGCTGCGGGCTCCAGCGTGTAGGCCAGCTCGGCCCGCGTGGTGGAGCCCTGGGAGAACCAGTGGGAGGGAAACTCCAGCTCCACCACACAGGCACCTAGGGAGGGCTGCAAACACACAATGGCCACGGTTGGCCCGGCAGGGGAGGGGGTTCCAGCACCCACGGCAGGAAACGCAGAGCTGGAGGGGTCCATGAAAGGCAGGACCAGCCCGGGCCAGAGACACGTTCCAGGTGACACAGTCAATGAGTGACGTGACTGGGGCTGGGTCTCTGGACACGTCCAAAAGCCACACTTCGACTTTGGGGAACAGTCTCATTCCAAAGTGAGCCAATCCCAATGCCTCCCCCTAATGATGCCCCAGGACCACCCTGACTATACCTCAGGCTTCGAAGAATCCCAAAGCAAGCAAAATACCTCTCCCCGGTGGATTCCCGTGCTCGACTCCAAAACAGTGTAAGTTGCAATTATAAAAGTAATACTAACAATAATGCAAATACTTGCTGAGTGATTACTCTGGGCCAGGCATCGGCATCATGCTAAAAGCTATTGCATTCATTTCATTTGTTCTTTATCCCAGCTCCATATGTGGTAGGAATTATTACTACTCCATTTCATAGATGGGGAAGCTGAGTCCCACAAAAATTAAGTTACTTGCCCAAAGTCATATACAATGGACTGACTTCCTTGAGGCGCCCTAAATAACCCTTTCAAAGGGTCCCCATGAAAGCTAGCAGAACAGGAATGGAGTCAGCTTGTCTGGGACTCCCAAACCACCCAGAAGTGGTAAGCCCTTTCTTCCCTACCCAGGACTACCCTCTGGCTGGCACAGCAGGTAGGGCCGGCCTAGGTAGGGCCCGCCCACTCACCTGGAAGTGGCAGGCTCGGTGAGCAGTGCCTGCAGGGTGTGTGGCATGGAGCCGGGCGCAGGGCAGGCTGCCAGGCCCTGGAGGCCAATCCTGCCCTTTGAGGTGGAAGAGGACTCGGGCATGGGGCTCCGCCGGAGTTACGGCCCCTTCCACTGACACAGCCCGCACATCCCAGGGCACTGGCCGCTGGTGGGGTTCAGTGACCCGTGGCGGGACCACCTGGAGGGAGAATGGGGGTGCTCAACAAAGCAGGGGATGCAGGGAAGCAAGATCCGGAAAGATGGGACACCAGGCTTCCAGACCTGGTGTGGCAGGACAGAGCATTTACAGACTGCAACTTCCCCCTCTGGAAAATGTGGAGCACAGCTGGGGCTGGGGAGGACCCTTGAGCTACGCACAAGCAGACCTCAGCTCTGCATCCTGTGAGCCTAGGAGTCAGTCCCTGGTGCCCTCTCCTTACCTGCTGAGTGGCAAAGGGTGGGTAGGAGGCCCGGAGAAGTGGCTGGGCCCTGGGCCACGGCTGCAGGAGCAGAAAAGTCTCAGATCGGGAGCCCAGAGAGGAGTTGGCCGGGGGATAACGGCCCACTTGCTGCACACGGAAGTGCTCAGGGGCGTCAAGGAGCTCCAGGGCTGCGGGCAGGTAGACGGGGTCCAGGGGGTCCTGGTCACAGCCCACTGAAGAAGGAGAAGGGGTAGAGATGATGACAGCTCCAGAGCTGGCTGGGGCTGAACTGAGCTCCAGCCTGGGGCACAGTGGTGGTGGGCAGCGGAGGAAGAAAAGGTTAGAAATGTCCCATCCCCCCAGGATATAGGGGAAGTTGTCCCATTTCACAGATGGGGAAACAGGAGGTAGCATGTGGCGGGACCAGGATTTGAACGTACATCTCGGACTGGATGCCAGCTTCCAAACCTTTCCTTCTCCTGCCTACCATAGACTCAGGCCTTCCTCCCTTGAGGAGAACCTTCTCAACATCTCCTCCCCATTCCTGCCCTCTACCTACTCGCCTCTGGTGTCAAGGCATCTGTGGGGCACAGTTCTCCCCAGACAGGGTCTGTGCAGTAAGATGGCAATGAGGTGAGCTTTGTAGAAGAGAGACCCTTTCTCTGTCCCCGGGTCCTTGGCCAGACTTGCTGGGGCACCCACCTCCCTCCCCTTCCATCATCACCATGGCAACCCTGCACTGGTTTCCTAAGCTTGCTCCCTTCTTCCCTGTCCCAACTGGGTACCGGAGTGCAAAAGTGGGATTGGCACTGGGGTTGGGGGGGGGACTATGAGCCTGGGGAGAGAGCCAAAATATTCAATGAGTAGAAGGGCAAAGGACCCCTAAGACCATACTTGGTTTGTACCAACTATTAGTTAGACCTAGTAATAATAAACACTTTCGAACACTATACACAGACGACTATTTGAGATTAATTCTTCAATTTGTGTAACTCTGAGAACTAGGTTCTATTGCTATTAATTCCATTTTATGGATATGAAAGATGAGGCTGAGGTTAAGGGACTTGCCTGGGATCCCACAGCTGGAGAGCGGTGAAGCTGGGAGTCAGAGCTCAGGCATCACACCCAGAGGGATACCCTCCCTCTCCTCCCTGCGCTGTTTGCAAGGGTGAGCACTTTCAGCCTCACTCCCTAGACTGTGGGTCTCTCCCCCGGCCCTTAAAGTCCTTAAGGGACTTTCCTTAACGAAGCCCTTCTTGATTGCTTGCCCTCCCAACAGCCCCCTAGTTGCCTCATCTGAATTGGTTGTCTTCCTGTCTATCGACAGGGGGACTTGTTCTACTCATTCCTGAATCCCCCAAGCTGGGCAGCTCTCCCTGGAGAGGATGTTCTGGGAGCCTGGAGGACTGCGTTTACGTCTTAATTCTGCCTCAATAAAGCTTGGGTCAGTCATTTAACATCTCGGAGCCTGAGTCCTCACCTGTAGAATGAGCATTTAGTAACAACTGTGAATAGGGGAGGGCTTTGTAAAGTGCGGTGAGCTGTCTGGAGGAGGGGTTATTGCTGTTGAATAATGGATGTGACAAGGCTTCCTTCATCTCTCTGTATAAGAGGTTATTAGGGCTCCTGCTGGTCCCCTGGGGAGGGGAGCAGGTGGCTGAAAGCAGCCCTAGAACCAGGTCCCTCTCTGCCCCATCCTGGGCTGGGGGACTTGATGGTTTCTCAACCTCCTTCAAGACCCTCCCACCAAGGAACTTGTGTCTGAGACGCTCCACACATCCTGCCCCCAAGTGTAACAGGTGAGTGACTATGGCTTCCTGGGGGCAGCCCCTGACCTCCAGCCCTCCTGTTCTACTGCCTGGATAATTACAAGATGCTCTGTGGCCTGACTCCCACGGACTCCCAGCACCCAGAGCTCAGCTCTCACGGTGAGTGTGAGGGGGCTAGAGAATGCCTCACTATCCGCCACCCCCCCCCCCACCGCATCCCCTCTCCCCGCCCCGTACTGTGGTGTCATCC